AATTTACACACATTATGATTTAGAATGTGCGCGAAAAAATGGATTGAAAGTAACATTAATGAATATATCACCAAATGCGCTTATTTACGAAAGAAATATACGTATAACAGAAAAAGACATGTTTGGTAAATAGGGTAATATATTATACAAAATTAAAAAAGAAGGTGGAATAGAAGAAAAAGTTAGTAAAGCATTATTAGTTTCATTATAGGGTGCATTATGTGAGCAAAGAAATGACAAAATTATGGTTTACATCTATGAATAAAACCATTCTTATTAGTATCTGCACGAAAAAGAATATCAGAAATTGTGAAACCACTAGGAGATCAAGTAAAACGTATACATACAGATGGCTTTATTATAGCTGGAAAAGTAGAACTTAAAACGGGAATAGAAATGGGTGAGCTAAAATTTGAGAAAAATAGAGTTTGTGTAGTAAAAAATTGTATATCAATTACATGGAAACCGTTATATCTAGAAATTCCAAATTTGATTATTTTCAAAGAAAATGAGCTTCGCTCTACAAATAGTTTACCGGATTTTGAGAAAATACAACAAGATAAAAAGCAGAATACAATATTAGACACAGAGTATCCTGCTTCACAGACAGTAAAAAGGAAACTATCAAAAAAAAGCTAAACAAAACACCCCAAAAAAATTTTACATTTTCATAATAAAATAAGTCAAAATTTCAGCATCATCCGATTTCAGCATCATCCCCGACATTTAATAATAGCTAGCTTCATATTCAAGCAACTAGAGCTAATTATAATGATGATATACTTATCACTAAACAATAAAGACGAGAAGAAAAAAGTTCAAAAAGAGATTCTAGAAAGATATATCAACTGATATAAGAAGGCACAATTAATAGTTATAGGTGACTTTAATTGTATTTCGGACCCTCTTCAAGACAAATCACACTATATAGAGAATGAACTATTTAAGTTGGATCTCCTTCTTAGATAGCTTAAAAAGCAAGATTTTGAAGTTTCCTTCTGATTAATAAACCCAAGAAGCAAAGACTTTTCTTGGACAAATAGAGAACAAAGTTCTAGAATCGACTAAATTTGAATTTTAGAAGATCTGGCAAGTAGATTATATAAAGCAGAAATTCAAGACATAGATATCATTATCAGTAGTGATCACGGAGTAGCATTAGCAAAACTCAAATTAGATCATTTAATTTCAGCAGTTAGTTATACTAAGCTTAAAAGACAAAATTTTAAAAGAACAGTTTTTCTTTATGATGAAGCAACTAAAGAAGATTAAGATAACTACAGAGAAGAATTAGAAAGAGTTCTTAAAAAAAAACTCAAAGACTTTTGGATGAAGCTTGGGATTTAGTGAACAAAGGTATCATTACTGCAACCCAGAAGATATTATCTAAAAAAAAAATCTTAAGCAAACAAGTCTCTAAAGACAAACGAAAAAAGAAGTCAGAACTAGTACAACTAATAGTTTTTTTGAATAGATGGATAAGCCTAGAAAGAAAGAACCTCAAGTTTTACTGGCTAGTAGATGATATACAAGAGTTTAATAAGCAGATTAAACTTATCAACCTCAATTGTGGAATCTATATTAAGGAGATTCAAAGCTAAACTCAGGAGACTATTAAAGATTTAAGAGAATAGTAAAAAATCCTTAACAAACGAAGAAGAGAAAAACTTAAAAAGATTCAAAGTAAGAAAATAAATAAAAATATAGAAAGAAGATACCAGATAATCGATAGAAAGCAAGGAAAGATGATAGCAAATCTACTTAACAAGCTAATCAGAAAAATCAAGATCAATAGATTACTTATAGAAAACAGCTTCTCGAGAAGACTAACTACAGATCTAAACAAAGTTTTAGAGAAAACATGTGAATATTTTAAGAATTAATTTAGACCAAAAAACTTTCAAAAAAGTGCTTTAGAAGAAGACTGATATAGAATTTACAGTCCCAAGAAGAAAGTCTAAGATATCTCACTGGTCGAAATTTTTTAATATAAAAGGCTGATATTTAGAAGATAGCTAGGTGAAACATCTAAAAACAAACATTCGAATATCGTATAGATGATATAAATATAAAT